AGATTGATTTGTATTTCCTAAATATTTAGGCATGTGGTATGTAAGACTCTATTTGTACTCTTGCCTCAGGCCCTACACCTGTTAGAAAGAGGACTGCAGAGTTCCTGACTGGCCTACAGGACAAACTCCAGAAGGAAACTTGAAAAGTTTCATGCCCAGGAGTAAAATACATATGCCTAATGAACATGTGTAATTGAGAGAGAGCTGTATAATAAACAATTGATTAAGGGCCAGGTAAAAGAACTCTTGAAGAGAAGTAATGAGGAGAGAGGGAGGAACATGGGCCTAGAAGTTAACTTGAGAGCTCTCAAGTCAAGTGGCCTGGCACAGTCCACTGAATTGGCTAGTGCCAGGATATCCACAGTGGTGTATGTGGCTAGTTCCTTTGTTCAGAATTCAGCCTCAGGTAATAAGATCCTTTCAGTCTTACCAGCACCGTTCTTTGGAATTTTTAGTTAACACTCAGAGCCTTGGAGAAAATAAATAATTTGACAAAATTGTGTGGATAAGTCATGAAAATTTATGTGAAAGGCTTTAAAAGTGTCAGTGAACCTTGTGGCGGATACATGACACAAGACAATCCTTTGGTCTTCATTGTTTTTCCTTAAAAGCTTTAATTCTCCTTGCGTGGTATTTTTGGTGGGACCACATTTAGTAGGACATCCAGTTTTATTGTAGGGATTCTTTTTTTAAAAATAGAAATTACCTTTGGAGAATACTTTCAGGGCGGGGGGACACTTCTCTTTTCCAGATTAAGGCACATTGTCTTGTAAGCAAGCTGGGTTAAAATACTAAGCTGGTGAATATGTTTATGGGTACATTTTAGGATAGCAGGGATCATTCATTCATTCAATAAAATCAACATTGTAGCAGGGCCTTTCATTCTTCTTGTCCTTTGCCATCGACCGGTCTGAAATCCTGGTCCTTATCTGGGGTTTTCAACTCTGAATAAGTGGATCTAACCATTGTGAGTCAAGTGGGGTGAATAATGCATGTTGCCTTCTGCTTTCTGCAGTTTGTGTGGGAATAATGAAAGAAGCATATGTGCTCCTGTGGAAGGAAAGGGACATAAACACACCCCATAAAGTATGTCACTCCTTTGCTTTTGGTATTTCAAATTCAGCCTCTGTAGTCAGCAATCTGGCATCATTTGCCAGCATTAATTTTTTTCCATTTGTATTCCAGGTTGAAATTCCCTTTATAGTGCACTTTAGTACTTAAGTTCTGTTCATCAGCTGTTGTTTAAAGGAACAAATAAATATGTCAGTATTCATAAACACAAAATAACCCAGAGAAATCAAAGTTTGAATCTGAAGTTGTTAAATCTAAGAGGCAGCAAAGATGACTTGTAAAATAATGAACTTGCATACAAACTAGTCACATTTTTATGGATTCACCATAGGTTAATTGATTTCCATTTCTTTAAGGATCTCAGTTCCAACTCTTATTATAAAGGCATTGGCCTGGATGTGGGTACAGCTAAATGACTCACTGTTTCCTGATCCACATCCAGTGTCTTTTAGAAATCATCCAACATTGACACTTGTATTGTAGACCGTTATGTCCCCAGTATGGTAGTTTAGGTCTGTTGTGGTTCTAATTTTAGTATTTCCCGTATGAGGTTCTAGGCCCAAGAAAGAAGCTCACAGGACAAAGTGACATTTTTTTTTAAGTGACGTATTTTTAATGTTCTGCAGAGAACTGTAGTTTGAAAGAACCTAACAGAAAGCTTATTTTAATGTGATAGTGTGTGTGCAGCAGGGGGGGAGCTTGTAAGTTGTGTTGTTTTTGTATGTACAGCAGACCCTTGGTATCTGTAGGAATATGGTTCCAAGGAGACCGCCCTTGAGGGAAAATCGTGCATGCTCAGGATGCATAGAGGTCAGTGCTCTAAAAGTACTCAGATTTACCTATATTGCACACACAGTATGTCTGAGCATCCACAATGTGAAACCACATGGAGTGGGCTACATTACTGTCACACAAATTACTGTACACATTAATACTGCTCGCTAAAAACTAAATCTCATTTCATGTTCTTTATCTTGAATCTTGCAGATGCTTGATTCATTTTTCCATAGTGCTGCCCAAACTTAAGCTAAAGACATGCCATCTCTCAGCAGATCTCACATTTTCACTTTGTCACTTAAATTGAGCACATTCACTTTTCTCTTGCTTTTTGGCTGCCATTTGCGTTTGGGGAGGCAGTTTTCACCTGCATCCACTGCGCTGCATGATGCAGGTGGGAATTTAACACTTTTGGCTTTGAAAGTTCTTTTCATTTTTTAAAAAAATTATTTATTATTTATTTTTATTCATATTTGCATACACTGTTTGGGTCATTTCTCTCCCCTTCCCCCACCCCCTCCCTTCCTCCCCCTCATCCCCTTCCTCTCCCCCCCCGCACCCCCCTTGCTACCTGGCAGAAACTATTTTGCCCTTATCTCTAATTTTGTTGAAGAGAGAGTATAAGCAATAATAGGAAGGACCAAGGGTTTTTGATCAAGCATGGTCAAAACCACATGTAATAAATCTGCATATAAGGTGGGTTGCTAGAAAAAGCTTTTTGAAATAGCAGATATGGGATATAGTCCTAGAAAGGTGGGGTCATTTCCGCACTATTGACGAATACTCTTCTCTCTGTAAACTGAGCAGAACTGAGATATATGAGAACTCCACACTTTCATTTTTAAGATGTATTACTTATCTCCCTCCCTCCCCATGCTGAGGAGCTGGGGATGAAACCCAGGGACTCATACATGGTGGCAAGTGCTCTATCACTGAGCTACATCCCCAGCCTTTGGCTTCATTTCTTGCTTAGATTCTGTAGGTTATTTTTCCTACTGAAGATTGTATATGCAAGGGGCCCATCCTCTTCTCCCCTTCCTTCAAACCTTGAGATTCTAATAGCAGCTTGGCTGGAGGCATAGAGAACCTATAATGAGTGACAGGCCCATTAGGACTGGTGCAGGTTTCAAGTCTCATCTCTTTTACCAACACAACCTGAGTGGATCTACAAAGTAGCCACCAATGAACCACACAGCCATTTTTAGCTCCTTGTGCCCTTCACTGATGTAGATGAGCAAAGATGGAACTCAGAGCAGGCTTTGTGTCTTTCTGCTTCCACATTTTGCGTTTTGGATCTTTGCTGTGGTGCACCCTACTTAGTCAGATTCAGAAGCACCCACGTGCCACTAGTAGTTAGCAGTGTACGGCCACTGGTATTGGAGTCACTCACATAAAACCCTGTGCCTGGTGTCTGCAGTTAATTCTGGATCTCCTTTGTTTTAATCACATCCCCTTCAGTTTCTCATCTTAACATTTTGAGCCCTGCCTCTTGTTTCTATGGCTTGGACTCTAGTACTTTCTCTTCTGGTAAATGGCCTTGATTCCCTGTTGTGCCAGAGGTGGAAACTTTATTTGGGTTCTAACTCAATTTCATGGGTTCCAGTTCTCATCATTGGCCATTGATCATCCTAGACTCTTTCTGAGCAGAACCACTTCAATGCGATGAATTGCCTTTCTTCTCAAATTCACTTTCATGTCCACTTGCTTTTCTGTATCAATGACTTAACCATTGCCAATCACCCAACTCAGCCTGTCATTACATCTCAGGTATGTAGATGAGTATTCTTTTCGATGCTACAGGTCAAATGAGTGCACACATTACACCCATTTTTATGTTAGTTACACATTGCTGGTGATAGAAAATAAAAGCCTTGTTACCAAGATAGAAGTGCTTTTGTTTTCAGCAATTTCTCTGTGTTCAGGATACATCCTCTAACAAAATCTTACCTGATACTTAATTTTTTAAAAACCTTTTTTGATTAATTGATTTCTCATTGATATACTGTTGGCAACAAATAATTTGTATTTATTTGAGAGAGCGTTCATTGGCATTAAATATTTTTTTGAGCCTTCCCAGAGAATATATTTTATTCTACCTAAGTATTTATGTGGTATATTTTAATCCTCCAGTGGGTGTTGGATGGTGAATTTTTTTCTTGCTATTTCTTACGTTTATTTTTAAAAACTCAAAATCATCAGTGTGAGGAACATTAAAAAGTTACACATTGTGGTGATATATTAATTCTTACTCCTCAATCATAGAAGTAAGTTCTTCCTGAATGGATCTCTACTCACACAGTCAGGAAACCATTGCTTACCACATCCATCACTTCTGTCTGCACATTATCATGTTTCAAAGGTTTTCCAATTAATCCTGTGGAAGCCAGATTCACTCCTAATTATAATCCTGTTATGCCTCTTTATTTCTTGATGTGCTTGTTAATTCATGTCCATCCTGCAGTTGTCTGCAACATAGTGCTATTATCAGCTCTTTTGTCTTTAAAAGCCTCTTGTCTACCATTTTGACTAAGATTGATTAACTGCACTTTGCTGAAATTGATCATTTTGGATGAAAAAAAATCTATCCTATGTATTTCTTCTGGCTACTCTTAGATGATTTCACTTTTTTCCCCTGGTTAATCAATCTGTACCCTGGTTGCTTTTTCCTTTTTGACTTCCTTTCTTTTGCTCTTTTCTTTTTTTAAGAACCGTCTATCTTGATCTCTTTATTTCTCCTGCCCTCCTGTAGACTATAGCTCTGTGATGAAAAGCCAGTTGCAAGAGTAAGTGGAATAAAATCTTCTTTTGAATCTGGTGGACTCTACCATGGCCTTTTCATAAAATAAGATAGTCCTTCTGTTTGGTGATCTTCTCCTTGAGTAGTTTTTGGGGTGAAAGCCACACGATTGGCTGCCAGGCACTTTGCAATGGCATTGCACGTTCCTCTTATTTATGACCTGTATTCAAATCTTAGGTAGCAAACTTTTTATGTGGGGTTTGTTATTTAATTTAATTAATTAATTTATTTTTGTGTTGAAAATCGAACCCAGGGCCTTGTTGCACACTAGGCAAGTACTCTACTGCTAAGCTACATCCCAAGCCCCCAAACTTCTTTTGGACACACAAATTAATATTTTATTTTGTCTTCCTAGGTACTGACTTTAACATAGATAGCTTACCTCTGCCTCGGAAAGCCCATCATGACTGGGCCCTTTTTCATGAAGAGTCTCCGAAAAACAATTACAAGCTTTTTCATAAGCCAGTTATAACGTTGTTTAACTACACAGCCACATTCAGTAGGCATTCCCACTTGCCACTGACTACCCAATACTTGGAGGGTGTAGAAGTCCTGAAGTCACTCCAGTACCTAGTTCCTTTGCAGTCCAAAAATAACCTAAGGAAAAGACTTGCTCCGCTGGTGTATGTGCAGTCAGATTGTGACCCACCATCAGATAGGGATAGCTATGTTCGTGAACTGATGACTTACATTAAGGTGGATTCCTACGGTGAGTGCTTACGAAACAAAGAACTCCCTCAGCAGCTGAAAAATCCAGCCTCTATGGATTCGGATGGATTTTATAGGATCATTGCCCAGTATAAGTTTATCCTCGCTTTTGAGAATGCAATTTGTGATGACTACATCACTGAGAAGTTCTGGAGACCACTGAAATTGGGGATAGTCCCTGTGTATTATGGCTCTCCCAGCATCACAGACTGGCTTCCAAGTAATAGAAGTGCTATTCTTGTATCGGAATTTGCACACCCCAGAGAGCTGGCAGATTACATCAGACGACTGGATTATGATGACAGATTGTACGAGGCCTATGTAGAATGGAAGCTGAAAGGTGAGATCTCCAACCAGAGACTTCTGACAGCTCTCAAGGAACGAAAATGGGGAGTGCAAGACATCAACCAAGACAATTACATTGATGCATTTGAATGTATGGTGTGCAGCAAGGTTTGGGATAACATTAGGCTACAGGAAAAGGTAAGTGAATCGAGTTCTGGCAGAGGGGTGAAGGCAGGCCATCTCAAGGTCTCTGTCATCCGCACGGTGCTGCTCTTTCTTCTCTGCTGCTGCCCATTCATTCCTAGCAGAGGGATGGGCTCTGCAAGAAGCTTGAATATTTTATTACTGTCTTTGGGAAATGCATGAGGTTTAAAGTCATGTCTTCTTTCCGAAACCCTTCAGTTCTCCTTTATCTTTTCTTCTGGAGGATGCGTGTGTTCCAGGTGCCAGGCAGTGACATAAATGGGCTACAGAGGGAGGGAAGAAAGCTTAAAAAAAATGTACATGTTCTGCACATCATCCACATGGTTAATCCTTTACTCTCCAGCAATACTATGGCAAAGACATGTGGTGCCAGACTCTTTCTCTCATGCCCCTGTAGCCTGTCATCTTGAAATTCATTTTCCTTTCACTCATATAATTAACTCCACTCTTCACCCCCATTTTTGCTCTTGCCCTTTTGGGCAGACACACAGCCTTACTAATACTGATTAAGTATCCCTTACCCAAAGTGCTTGGGACTGTAAGTATTTCCTTCCAATTTTGAACTTTGTCAGTTTTGAAATTTTTACATAGCTTTTCCCAGTTGAGTATCCCCAGTCCAAATTAAATACATACATACATAAAATCCAAAATCTGAAATGCTTCAAAATCTGAAACCTTTTGAATATCACATGGATGCTCAAAAAATTTCAGACTTTGGAGCATTTTGAATTTCAGATTTTTAGATTTTGTATTTTAGGTTAGGGATGCTCACCTTGTATGTAGAGTGACTGTTCAAATAATGATGGAAATGTCTTAAAACACTCCTTTTTATTAAATTATAAAGTACCTAGTGACATCTTCAGATTTCTAGGTTGGTTTGCTTTATTTATAATGGGAATGTCTCACTTTATGTACAATTGAGTTTGTTAAAATGACATTTGTTGAAAGAAACAGAATGATTAAGTTTTAACTTCTCATGAATATTTTTAAAAAAATAAGGTGTTCCCCACATACCATTTACCTATCACATGTAATACCCTGGCCTTCTCTGGGGAATGCATGAAGCTTAAAGTCATGCTCTTCTTCCCAAAGATCTTCAGTTTCTCCTTTCTCCTTTCTTTGGGAGGATACCTGGGCAGTGCTTGGGCAGTGACACAGGGAGCTGGAGAGGGAAGGATGAAGACTTACCTTTGCAGGCTCTGTACATCATGCACATGATTAATCCTGCAAGGGTATGATGAGTGATACGATGGGTGCCCACATTTTCAGAAGCCAAATAATTTTGGTTAAATATTGAAGTGTTTATTTTGGATATCATATTAATTTCAGGTCAAACATGAACCTAAATAGTGTGTAGAATTATGTAGATATTATCTGGGGCTCTTATATATTTAATATATGTTAAGACAGATTTAAAATTTTAACTCATAAAATCATTTATTTCATGCTGAGTGTCTTGGTCAGCAACAGGAACACTAAATATTACATTATTCTCAGAGAATGTATCCTGCTTTCTGAGATGACTTCCTTCATGATGTAATTTATGGGGCCACATCACAGGAAAACACACACCACACACACACACACACACACATCTACAAAAATAGAGAGTAGAAACCACATTAATTGCCCATGCTCTGCCAATTATTTGATCTCAAAATATATTAAAGGCAGAAAATACAGAATTTCTGAGGGTGATGACTGGCGTAGGTAATATTTCAAGATCCTTTCCAGGCTTGTAGATTGTATTCATTAGAAACTGAAATAACTGTGCAAACCCTGCCTGTTCCTGTTCTTTGCAGAGCACAGAAGAGGGGATGCAATGATACGGATAAAAAGCTTTTAAAAAACTAGAGGAGAATACCTTCATTCTTTCCTTCCCAACAGCAGCAGCTGATTGTGGTATTTCAGAGTACCTGAAAGTGGCATAATTCAGCAGCCTTTTCTTTGGACTTTCTGAAGAAAAATAGATAATGTATACTATCCTCCATTGCGCTCTTATTCCTCCCAGAGAGGTGGTCAGTGAGGATGATTAGAAGGTTTTTCTCTCATTTCAGTGAACTAGTTACAGTTCTAAAATGCGAATGTCCTCACCATTGGAAAGCAGATAAAATATACCAGCAAAGTAAGACCAGTTCTTATTTGCATTTATTTCATAAGATTTGTTATGGCTTTTGTGTGGCACAACTTGAAGTAAGTTTCTTAAGTACAGCTTCCTTTTTTTCTCTTTGAGCCAAAGAAGAGCTGAAAGAAAATTTGAATTCCTCTATTTTTTTAGCCTGCAGCTGATAATAGTTTAAATGGTTCTGTTTGGAAGTGGAAGAAAATGTTAGAATGTCATAAGAATTTCCCATTTCTCTATTCTACTTCTCCCCTTTCCTCTCTCCTATTGTTGTGTAATAATAGTATCACAAACTTAGTGGCTTACAGCAACGTACAGTTGTCACCTCCCATTTTATGTGGGCCAGGGCTCTGGCCTAACTTAGCTGGGTCTGCTACAAGGCTGCAATCAAGGTGTAGTGAGAGCCACATTTGTACTTGAAGCTCAGTGTGGGAAGGAAAGTTACTTCTAAACTTATGCTTCTTGACAAGTTCACTTTCTCAAGATTGTTAGGCTCAGAGCTTAGCTTCTTGCTAATAGAAGGCTGGCAGCTGTCCTCAGCTCCAAGAGGCCACACACAGTTCCCTAATATATAAGCTTCCCCAGCATGGTCACATCTTCCCTCAGAGCCAGCAGGTAAGCCAGAGACTACAGCAAGATCAGCATATAGCCTTATGTATGTAATTAGACACACACCCTCTCATCACTGCATGTTTTGTTGGTCAGAAGCAAATTGAGAAGTAACACCCACACTCAAGGTGCTATGACTGAATGTATCCCCCTCCCCCAGTTCATATGTTGAGACCCTACTCCACAATGTGATAGTATTTGGAGGTGGGACTTTTGAGAGGAAATTAGGTGATAAGTGTAGGGCCCTAGTGAATGGGATTAGTGCCCTTATAAACCAGACCCTGGAGGGCTCTTTTTCTCTTTCTACCATGTGATGACACAGCAAGAAGATGACTATCTACAAAACAAGAGGCAGGCCCTTGCTGGGGAGCACATTTTCTGGTGCCCTGATCATGTACTTTTTAGCCTCCACAATTCTGATAAAGTGTTTATTGTTTAAGGCACCCAGTTCAATGTATTCTGTTACAGCAGCCTAAATAGATTAAGGGGATGGGATTATAGGGTATTAATACCAGGATATGGGGATCAAGGCAGGTCATAGTCCATTTATGAAGTTTGGATATACCAAAATTTGCTTATCCCCTGCCTGCTAATGGACATTTGAGTTGTTTCAGTTTTTGGCTATTGTAATCAATGCTAAGAACATTCATATGCTTTCAGTTCTTTTCTGTAAATATCTAGTATGTATAAGCTGAATGGTGAAGTGTATTAAACATTTTGAAAGCTACGAAACTTGTTTTCCAAAGCTGTTCAATTTTACATTCTCACCAACGTTGTATGAAATTCAATTGGTGTGGTCAGTCTTTAATTTCTGACTTTCCAGTGGATGTAATGATATCTCACTGTGGCTTGTATATATGTCTCTAATGACTGGTGTGCTGAACATCTTTTAATTGTTTAGTTGTCATCAAGATACTCGGGAGGCAGAGATCAGGAGGATTGAGGTTCAAAGCCAGCTTGGCAAATAATTCATGAGACCCTATCTTGAAAATACCCATCACAAAAAGAGCTGGTGAAGTAGCTCAAGTAGTAGAGCTCCTGCTTAGCTAGCATGAGGCCCTGAGTTCAGACCCTGGTGCCCCCCAAAAGAAAGAAAGAAAGAAGGAATTCATCATACAGTTTTAATGCAAGTCAATTATATAATTAAAAATACTGTATTTTGTTCTAGTCTGTGTGTTGTCATCAGTTTTTATGGTATCTTTTTTAAGTGTGAAGCTTTAAATTTTATTTATGATGAAGTCTAGTCTATCAGTTTTTTCTTTTGTTGTTTATGCATTTTGTGTCCTATTTAAAAACATATTTGTGTTACCCAAGGTCACTAAGATTTGCTTTTGTTTTCTTCTAGAAATTTTATAGTTTTAGCTTTTTAATTTAGGTCTGTGATTCACTTAGAGTTAATTTTTGTAATGTAGTATAAAGTAAAAATTGAGATTTGCTTATTTGGATATGCAGTTGTTTCAGAATAATTTGCTGGAAATACTTTATTGATTGAATTGCTTTGGTTTTTTTCCCCCAGTAATCAATTGGCCATGTCTATATGGATCAATTTCTGAACTTTCAATATATCTGTATTTTGGTAATACAGTATTTCATAAGGAGATTTGAGTGGGATGTCAGCTTACCAGTTTTATTGTTTTTAAAAATATTTTTACTATTTTAGGTCTTAGATTTTCCATTTTAGACTCATTTTGTCAATTTCTACAAAAATGCTTGATGGGATTTGCCTTGGAACCACAATGAGTCAATTTGGGGAAAATTGACAAACATGTTGAGATAATCCATATGCATGACTTACCTATTTATTTAGGTCTTCTGCAGCTTCTCTGAATAGCATTTTGTAGTTTCTGATGCACAAATTTTGTAATGTTTTGCTCAGACATATTCCTAAGTAGTTAACATTTTTTGTTATTACAGTAAATAACGGTTTTAGAAAGATTTATTTTCCAATTATTTAATGCTAATATATAGAAAAATTGATTTTATGTATCAGCTTTGAATACTTCAACTTTGTTTAGTTTTGTGGTATTTTATATAGCTTTCTTGGGATTTTCCTGTACAAATGATCAATAGTTGTCTACAAATAAAGACAATTTAAATTTTTACCCCCAATCTATTTTTTTTTTCTTTCCCCTTGCTACACCAACTTACTACACTGACTTGGCCTCTATTACAGTATTGGATAGTATTGTTGGGACTAGATTTTTTGTTTCCAATCATCTTTCATTATTAAGTATTTTATTAACTGTAGGATTTTACTACACAT